TGAACATCTTCACAGGCAAATTGTGGGGATACGCCAGAATTTAAAACTTATTCTTGGGCGTGACACCCAACACCAGAAAGTAATTATTGTATACACACAGGGAAGATGCATTAAATCTAATTTGACACTGGTTTTATTTCTCTTTTAGAGACTCTACTTCTCTCTGAACACCCCACTATTATGGTAAAGCTTACTGGCCTGACTTTTAGTGATCCAAAACACAGATAAACTCAGACTACAACCAGCAAGCGCTGAAGAACCGAACTTGGGCATCTCCTGACACCGATACAACCCGCTCTCAACACCCACCCCAACAGACAGAGCAAGACAGAGCAATTTGGGTATTTATTCCTTCCAATATCCTTACCTTGCTTCTGCAAATTCCAAACCGATTCCATTTCTGTGGAGACAAAACAAGACAACCATTGTTATTATACAGATTTACGCAGCCGTTAGAGACAACTCCAAATATGCTTTAATTTTCTGAGCGTGGCACGACACGGCTGCGGTTGTGCCGAGGCTTTCACACAAAGCCAACCCCATCCAGCCCAGCAGCGCAGCCCCAACCCAGCCCACAGCGCTGCATGAATTTGACGTGAATGATCCAGCGATAAAAGGCAGGGAGATGGCCGTAACACGGTTTTACGGGTCAGGCGGCCAAACCAAGCATCAGAAACGTCACCGCCATTCTCCGCTCCTACAAATCACAATCTAACTTCGGGCTTTACTACTCTGACTCCAACACTGCTTCACACATTACAGCCCCAACAAGTAGCCTGGAGAGATGATTTTTTACAAGCTGATGCTTAGCGTGTGTGAAATCAGAACCGCTGGACAAAGCGAGTTTCTCATGGTTCACAGCACGCATCTGCTGAAGCACACCATGCAAAGATTACTCTGATAACATCGCTGTGAAACTGCTGCCAACGTATCATCCAAGAACAAGGTGCGATGCTCGAGAAACCTGGCTGCCTTTTGGCCTGCAGCTCTTTTCCTATTTTGCCTCTACAACACACTTGTGGGCTAAAGACAAACAAACTCTCTCCAATTCTCCCTGAAAGAACACATGCTTTTGTTTATCTAAGAAATAGCAGTCAAGTTAAATGTTCTTTGCATTAACGTTAACAGAAGACTCTTCCCTTTAAAATAATCCCCAAAATTAAATCACATCTTTAGAGACCTATTCAAAATAACTACAGTTAGCCACTATTAAGTGGGAATTTTGTGTGCTAGAATATTTACAAAGACACTAAGCGTACCCTGTGCCCAAGTTTAAGAGACAAAATTATAGAACAGGAGCACTTCAGTAGGAACATAACCTGCAAGAACAATCTTTAAAGACTCCTTTCTGCCAGAAAGGAGGGTGCCAGGACCTCGGTAGGGGCTAGGAACGGAGAACAGCAACGGATTATTAAGCTACACAGTATGTGCAGTAAAGCACAAAACAAGGCAGTAAGTAAACTAACCGGCATGGGAAAGGAAGAAGAAAAAAACCCTACAAAACTCATGGCCTCAGCACGATGTGTGCCAAGTGTCACCTCGATCAATCGCTTGCATGTTCACGTCCCTTCTCCAACCCTTCATCTGTCCTTTGTCCGCTACAATCTCAAGCTCCCCGGGGCAGGAAATTGCATGCAAATAAATACTGCCAGCCCTCTCCGCACAATTAAGTCTTTTGTAAGGAAGGCCCTGACAAAATTTTATGAGGTCTGTTATTTTTGCGTCACGATAACAGCAGCAATACTTTGCACTTTCATCGGGGGAACCCTAAATAGTAACCGGCCTCTAACACCCCCGGGGATATAACAACTAGCAAGGGACTACCTCCCTCATCTGCCAGATGCAGATTCCCCAGAAGTAAAATGAACCAGCTACTAAAATTACCTCCAGCAGAACTAGTTTTCCATTCAGTGAGGTTAGATGCATCGTTTTCTAACGGCTAAAGAACATCACCTATTTTAATAGCTCTCCCTAAAGGCAGGGGACAGAAAACTACTCTCAAGCTGTTGGTTCCTCCACATTAGAGCAACGTTTGAGCATCTAATACAAGGCAGAGGCTGACACGCTGCCCACTGCTATGTGTCCATGCAAAAGACCACGCTTTCTTTTGCACCTCCATTTGGTCCTAACTTCGTTGGACACCACAAAAACGTGAACTGCTTGTATTAAGATGTGCCTGACAATAGACAATGAGATACTATCGAAAACACACCAAAAAAGTTTTAAGTTGTCAAAATACTGTTTTAAAGAAACCTAACAAACCAACACCCAAACTCCCCAACCTTTTCAGATTTCAATCTTCCTCCTTCTTCAGAAAGGGAGCTAGGAGGGAAGGCGGTGTAACATATCCTGTAAATCCCAAATACCGGGACACGCTGGCTGACAGATGCTCTGCCTGACAAAGCTACAAATCAAAGACCATCAGCAAACTGCCTGTGATATCGAGTGTTACCGAATATCGTCTGCCATTAGAAGAGCACGGTCCTCCCTTCTACCTGGGCAGCAGCACATGGATATGGAATAACCACACTTACCAAGTGAAACACCTTCTCAGAGAAAAAATAAATAAACCTTGGGCTAACTGCAACAAAAAACTAGGGAAAAAGAAAGGTTTTACTTCAATGTTAAGACGTGATTTTATTATTTATTTTGCTTTACTTGGTAATACATTAGAGTGACTTTTCCTCCCAGTTCTGGATTGGTTACAGGCTGAGGTCACCTACAACCACCCCGGGTGCTGTGACAAGTGCCACGACCAGTGTAACAGTGGGTGGACAGACCGCAGCGACCGACCTGGCAGACTGGCAGCTCAGCAGAGCCACCACGCGCTGCGCAACGCCTGGCTCCAGCTAACCGGAGCAGCAAGCACAGGTATGCAGGGTGGAGGAAGAGGCAGCCCCCATGCCTGCTTTACAGCCCTCCTTCCTCGGGCTCAAGGAGCTCTTCCTGAGCTCGTTTTCCCTAGATAAAGCTTCCAGAGCGAGTTCAAGCAAGAACTCTTACCATCACTCACCTCTGCCCGGGAAAAGGGACATTCTCACCGTGTGTCTGACTCTGAGATACCAACCCAAAACCTAGCACTGCCGCTTTCCAAAGCGGAAGGTGGTCAAGACCTGACCAACAGACGGGCCACCATTCCCAAAACACAACATGCGGCCAGGAAAATGGCATGCTTCCCCTCAGCGAACTCCAACCCAGCTGGAGAAAATGCCATCAACAAACTCTTGCACAATCCGCCATCAAAGCCAACCCCGCTTCGAGCCAGGGGCAGAACTAGGTCACCTCCCATGCCCCTTCCAACCTCAAGTTTTCCAGGATTTTTTTTTTTTTTTTAAACATTCATCCAGCCTCTCCACAGCCCTCCAGCTTGCTGAGGAATTGCCCGGGTTAGACAGCCCCAGCCACATCCACCTAACGAGCTCCAGGGAGAGGAACCACTTCTTCTGGGGACTATCACGGAAACAAAGGGTCAGCGGAAGAAGGCTTTGATGTCAGAACAGACCAAGGTGCGCTCTGGTGAATTGTGGTGAGATTCCTCATAGGTCAATAAAATTTATAGCAGGACTGGTACAGAACCTTGGAGAGGAAAGAAGTCTTTCTGTGATAAGTTGTTAAGATAGGTACTTTTATACACATTTTCCTTGCTAGAGAGGCTGCCCCTGTGAACCGAAGTGTCCGCACAATGCCACGGTACTAGTTCTTTGTTCTTATAAACCTAAGAAATAAACTGGCAATTGTCCCTAAAATGAAGAGCTTAAAAAAAAAAAACAACCAAAAAAACCCACCCAACCAACCAAGATGGACCACCTTCATCTGATTTTTCTGTTTCTATCTGCAGGACACAACAATTCAGTTAGGGGACTGCCCCAGAAACAAAGCAAAGATTAGAAATTCAATGCTGTGGAGACTCATCGCTGTACTGAATACACTGTACTCATCCTGACAACTGGAAAAAGCAGAGACTTGAAGGAGAATTAAATCAGCTTTTGCCCCACAGCGCAGGCCCCAGAAGACCATAAGCAACAGACTGAGATCTAACCCCTTCCCACCAAGGGGGATGGGAAACCAAGGCGGGTTTGTTTTCTTTCCCCCCCCTCTCCTGATGTAAAGGATGAAAATTGCTGAATTCACAGCTCTGCTATTTCTTCTGACCCAGTTCACCATTCCGACGAACGCCACTCCTGGCTGGCCCACGCTGCCTTGCTCTATTTTCCATGCTGCTCTTCTGCTTCTTCATGCGAGCAGAGATGCTGGTGCAACCGAGATGCAGAGAAGGAACAAAGCAGCAGCACAGGCAGAAACTGAGGGGCAAGACAGAAGAGGGAAACGCTGCAGTTTCCTCTCCTCCACCTATGTGGTCTCTGCCGCTGTGCAGCTGAACTGGAAACCTCGATTATTTGCTTTTTAGCTAAGGACAAGCAAACTACTGAGCTTCCCACCACAAGGCCTGACATACAGAGCCCAGTGTTAGTGACAGACAGCCTGGCCTGGAAGACTGCAACTGCCCAAACACAATGAAATTCTGCAAAGCGTTGACAATTATTCCGATACGAAATGTTTCTCCCAGCTGTCTTTAAAAGGAGGACTAAAGCAGGAAGAAGATACCGATTTCAATGGAAGTAAAGCTGAGATACACCCAGACTCCTCTTTTGAAGGACCAAAAAATCCACGAGAACCAGTTTTACCTCCAAAAGATTAGGATTTTGGCAATGCCACACCAAGGCAGAGGTTCAGTTCTAAACTAGATAGGGACAATGTCCCTAAGAGAGCATCACCCCTTCCTAGTCCTTCCATTCTCCCATACTAAGCTACTGCCCCTGGCTCCAACCACATAAACACCAGCCCCACCAGTGCTCAACTGCATCAGATCTACCTTGCTAAATCAGGTACGTCACCCGCGAGTGTTTCAAGGCCCTGTCACAAACACTGAGCAGCGCGGCCTGTCAAGGAAGGCAGCCGCGTTGAAGGATTGTGCTTTGCAGTCAAGCAGATCAGATGATCATGGGAGTCTTTCTGCCCTTTAAAAAGACAAAAGCATGGCATGGAGCAGGGGCACAGAGGAAACCAGCACAAAAAGCATCTAAAAGAACAGGAGGGCTCATCATCAGCCTTGCCAGTACGTTCCCAGTGCCCTGGCTTCTGGGGAAAAAGCAATGTGGGCACGTGCAAACGAGCACAGCCTCCTCCACCAGGACCTCGCTCTGCTCCGCAGCCATCCAGCCTTCCACCCCAGCATAGCCCTGCCACCACGCAGGGTGCTGCGGTGCTTTAAACAGGATTTCTGTACCACAGCCAGCCCACCCTGGGCGTTACCTCCTCCATCCATCCTTTCCCAGGGAAGCTGTGGAGCAATTACAATCTATAATGCCCCTCGCAGTCACTGGGCAAACTGTGCACAGGAAAGCCTGGTTTGCTGGAACAAAGCTACTGAGTAAGCTGGAGGCTTTCCCATAGCCTATTTACAGTCCAAAATGAGGATCCACACAAACCCATCACAGCCACAGACACAAACAGCGCAAACAAGGGTGCAAGCTTGCGACAGGCAGGTCAAAGCACTGCAACTGCTCGTGCTAGAGCCCGTTCCTCACTGTGACACGTAGAGCTTCATCTGTGCACCACAGGTAGTTTGCACATGAACTACATGGAGGAGCTCGGGGTAGGGAACGCACCAGGACCCCACCAGTGCTCTGCGCTCACCCCTGTCCTTGCCCCACAATCACTTCTCTTTGTGTCCATGACCCCAGAGGCAGGGCAGATTTGAAAATCAAACTATCGAGACTTTGCTCCAAATCAAACAGATCAATATGAAGAGGGAGAAGTTCACTCTCCTCTCGAAATCAAAACCAAACAATCAGAATTCAGCTGCCCAGGCAGCTGGCCTAGGCAAACCCGCACACTCTCCTGAGCAGGCAGGAGGGAAAGGCAGCTTGTGAAAAATAAGCGAGTGAAATCGTTCCTTTCCTATTCCAAAGAAACTAGCTGGCTAGGAGTAGGACCTCAGGAAAACAGCCCAAGATAAACGCAGAGGATGGCGTGGGAATTAACGACGCCACTGCTATCCTGCAAACACACCCTGGCAGCTCCGCTTTGTAGCCATTTTGCAGCATGCTGTGCCACAGGAGCCCACCTGTGGGGCTCTGGGGTGATGGCCATGAAGGGGTGATGGCATTTTCCACCTGCATGGGGCAGAGGAAGGCATCGTCCTCCCAATACCGTTTAACCTTGAACACACACAGCAACACCCAACATCATCGCAGAAGACTACTAAGACCAAAACTTATCTCCTGCTTTGTAAACTACCAATAACACCGGAAGACTAAGTAGGACAAAGACAAGCTCAAGCTGTTTGGAGCACTCCTATCACTGCATTAATGACAACACTGATTAGAAACATCCATCATCTTTCACCCCTAAGTAACACCTTCAAGTTGGCACAAACACAGCTTGAAAAAGAAGTCGGCAAACGGAGGAGTGGTAGGGCAGGAACCCATCTCCCCAGGGCATCCCAAGGGCACTTGCTCTGGATGCTCAACGTAAGAGCATTCACATGCAGAGGCAAGGAAAGAGCAGAAAACAGTATTTTAAAGAGTGCTTTAGGTGTCCATTCTTGCTATTGAAAGTAATTAACTCCTGTGTTCAGAAGAACTAAAAGCAGCCAGACTTTGAAGTTAACACCTCCTTAAGAGGACATGGGAAGGGAGTGTTCTTTATTTTCCTGTTGTTACTATTGTTTTACTGGGGTCTTTCACGCAGCTAGTGAGAAAGGAGAGCTGATGAGTCTTGCTGCGGCTGTACAGAGCTGCTTTCCTACAAGAAAGTTCAGGCTAGAGGAAAACAAAGAGACTGACTTAACAGTTTGCAAATTTTTCTAACATTTAAGAGGAGGATTGCCTAGAACTTCTCTTCAAAACCACGCTATACTTTCTGGTACCCCCATTTTCTGATGGGAAACTGGGATTTAGGCTGCAAACAGACACAAGGAAAAAGAATGGAAAGCTTGCTTTAATACTGGAATAGACTGAGCCAAGGATGAAGACCCAGATAAAGCTGAGGAACACTGTTCTCAAGAATACTGGAGCTTAAAATGTTAACGTCTTGAGAGTGTGATAACCTGGAAAAATACATGGAGTTATTGTTTTTAAATGACTGGGCTTACTATCACTAAAGGAAGGCATCTAAGTTTCCATATGCTATAGAGAGAATTTGTGAATAGGTAATTTAAGAACTTTGCAGTGGGTCAGAACCCACCACATTTGCCAATGCCATCCAAACCTCTCCGCAGAGAGAAGCGAGATGCTACCCATGTATGTATGTGGAAAAGTGAACAAAAAACAGATGATCACCTTTTTCCCTTTGGGTAGGGGGATGCAGGGAGAGAGGGAAGGGGGAGGCGAATAAAAAAGGAACTGCCCTTGTGTGTCAGGGGTAGGTAAAAAACACGGTGCCAAAAGGGAACACACAGCTGGGCTCCCACTAACACCAAGCCAGGACCAAAAGCCAAGAACTGCCACAAGACCTCAGAGCTTCCGGGGCTGAGGCTCAAGCACAAAACAAAGTGTCCCACAGGCTTCCTTCTCTTCTTCCCAGTTTAAAGCATCTATATCATGCTTGAGTCACTTTAGTCTCAAAAAAACACAAACAAAAAAAAAACCAACCCAGGGGAAAAAAAAAAAAGAAAGAGTTGGACTACAAAGGATTCCATGAAAGCAATAAAATCATCTGAAAGATTTGGCCTACAAAGACAATGAGATAATTCAATCTGCAGCTTACAGAAGAGTTGATAAGCAAAGATTTGTCTTGCCACTGCCATAATATTCAAGAAGAGCAGGAGGAAAGGGGGGGGGGCTTGCTTAAAAAAAAAATAAAATAAACCACACCATGAAAAGCCATAGGAGTAATTTTTTTCTTCCTTCAAAGCCATGATTTCACGGCCTGATCTGCCCAGGGGAGAAGCTGCAACACTTTGGTGCTAGAGGTGTGAGAACAGCCTATGAAGCCTTTTCAGTGACAGAAAATCACCTGGTAAAGCTGGAACAGAGCAGGTGAACCTACAGGTTTAACTCCTTCCAGCGCTGATAAGCTTAGGAAGACCTGCTTGTTCCATAGGAATTAAAATGTAAAACACATTAGCTAAGTATCACCCCTATCCACATCACTTACGCTTGTCCACGGGAACAGGGAAACAAATACCTCTTAACATTAATTAAACAACTGTTTGAATAACTTTCCCAAATAGTTATTGCCATCAGAGATATGCAAGCAAAAAAAGCTCATTTTTAAAACAATCAGAATTGCTGTAAGGAATATATATCATGTTAGAATATTGCACTTATAAAATAAAATAAAAAAAAGATAAGAGAATGCCCTTAGGCAGCAAGTTAAGCCATTACCTTTAGTGTGATACATAATAGCAGCCCTCAGGTCAAAAGAACCCCAGCTATCTTTCCTTTCTAGGCCTCTCTGGTACCTCTGTTCTTTGGCGGAGGCTAGCAAATTGTTCGTAGGAGAGGCCAGAGGATTCTCTATTTCATAGTCTTTTGAAAGAAACACTAAAGCACCTTGGCTACCGGTGTCTGCCTTTTGTAGGTCACCTGTGTGATGCGACTCCAAAGCTAAGACACCACCCTCAACAGCAGTCCCAGGCTTAAGAATAGCACTAAGAATTTGAGGGCTAGTCCGTTTATCCAGCTCATAAGCCTTAGGAAACACAGGTTGTTCAGTTCCTGAGGGAATGATTTCAGCACACTGTGAAACCAAAGTGGCAGGATATTCCCCTTGAAATGTCACTTCCATTAACTGATTATCCGCAGATTTCCCCACAACAGTTTCGGGGCCAGCGCTGGGCTCGTTTATGAAAGACAAGCCCCACTGATTCTGGAAAATATCTCCCAGGTTCTGCTGATTCGCCTGTGATGGGAAATCGACTTGCGCTGTACCCAGAAGCACAGTTTGCATATTTGAAGGGTAGATAAAAAGGCTAGATTTCTTTTGTTCGAGAGCTGTCGAAGTTGTACTCATGTCCTGGGGTGCTGACTCGGAGGAGGTGGATGATACAGTACTAGCAGCAGTTGAGAGCAGTGGCTGGGTCCCTGGAGAATACACATTTCCATCAGTCCCTGCTAGAATTGGCCCATTCGAAAAGCTAGCAGAAGTAACAGATTTCATAGCAGACATGGGGACTTGGGACAATCGACTTGATGTTTGGGCCTGAGTTTCCCCAGCAGATGACGAAGACGACGAAGACGATGTGGATGGGGCTTGAGCTGCTTTGTTGAGGTTTTCTTTAACTTTACTTGCATAACTTATTTTGGGAACAATTTTAGCACTGCTATTGTCCACTGGAAAAACTGGGGGTGGTTTAAATAAGGTCCATGAATCCTCTTTAGATGTAGCCGACGATGCATGCTTCCCTTTGGGCCGGTCATCAAACTTCTTGCTGCTAATCCCAGGTTTGGTATCAGAGCTTTTTCGCTGTACATCCCCAAGCCCAGGCTTCCCCCGGCCTGCTCCACCAGCCCCAGCCTCGTATTTCCAAACAGGCTTAGTATTTTCAATTCGGTTCCCCTTTTGTTCACTATAATCAGGCTTGAAACTCTCAAGTTCCTGTTTTAAGGTTGGTGCACTGACCTCCTGTTGCATTATTTTGTCCTGTACTAGATTCAAGTTCTCACAGCCCTTGGCACTGTTGCGCCTGCCTTTCCGTTTTTTAGGCGTAGTATATCCACTCTCAGAGCCGCTACCATCGTTATCGGCCCCTTTGCCTACGTAGCCATTCGTGATATAGCTAGAATTATTGGTTACCACACCATTTGGAATAGACACTCCCTCCGGCTTGTCTGAGGACTGGCCTTCTCTAAGTTTATTTTCATAGGACTTCTCATTCTTTTTGTCCATGCTATTTTTCTGAATGAAGTTCTTGGTTTTGATTCCAGCTTTCCCCAAAGCGCTGGCCTTCACAGTCTGCTTTGGGGTCACGTTAGTGTCTACGAGCTGCTGGCTGCCATTGGGTACCCTGGATCCTGGGGTGGTGGTTTCATCAGAGCACAGGCCCTTTAATGACACTTCTCTTTCTCCTGCGTTACCATTTAGCTCTCCGTAGCCTAGAAGAAAGCCAAAAACAACAAGAGGCAAGAATTAGAATGTGAAATCTTAAACTTCTGATTGTAGAAAGCTGTAATCAGCCCCAAACGTATCCAGTTTCCTCAAGTAGACATTTTAAAACAGGAAAACATCTAGCCTCTGATGTACAAAAGCATATGCTTATTTGCTGGAAACCACAGCAAGAAGAGTTAAGGAGAAAGTACCAGCAGCTACCGACTCTCACATACAACAGGGTGACGTATAGGTAATAACACAAAGCAAAAAAAACATACAGATACTACATAAGGAAAATACACTGTACTAAAGATAACTGGCAAGCAGGAGAGCTATTTCATCAGCTACTATTTCCAGGTCACGCAGAAGAAAAAATTAATTCCCAGGATGCTTCAAGACAGAGATCCGCTGCCTTTGCTACAAGATTTGTTGAAGTTCAGAATCCATGCTGCAAACAAGGGCCAAGTCCTATCATCTCGGTCAGCTCCCAGGCTGGCAACACCAGCAGCCCTCCTTCCCACCTTCCTCCCAAACACCACCTCTAGTAAGGGGAGGGGAGAAAAAAAGACATTTTCCAAAAGGATGTGTGCAAGTCCAGTTGAAAGTGGCATCTCCTTGCAAAATAGCATCCAACACCTCCCTACACACGCTCTTTAGCTTTGGAAAGGTGACAAATCTGGGAAGAAAGGCATCCCTGCAAGCACCCTTCCACCACCACTGGCAACTGGCCTCCTGCCCACTGAGAAACTTCAGCATTTCAGAGCGACACTGGGAGACCCAGCACCCAGAGCAGCACAGTGCTTGCTGAGGGCTCCAACTCATCAAACCATGACATTATGCTCTACACACAAAAAGCTTTCCTTTTTGCTTCTCAAGTTTGTTTTCTAGGTCCTACAGTTCCGAAGTGAATTTTGAGCGTGCAATTCAAGCGCAGTTGAAATGCAGTGGAAGCTCAAGACAGCCTAGACTGAACCACCTCATCTTCCTCAACTATTTTTTTTTTTTTTTTTTAAAAAAAAATCTCTGGCCAGAGACCTATTGCTTTTGAGGGCCCTGGCTACAATGCCCCAAGAGAAACCTTGAAACCCCTCTGAGATGGGAAGAGCACACTGTACCCAGCTCGGCAAATACACTCCAGCTGTGGACCAAGGGGAGACGGACTCCAACTGCACCCGCTCCTCTGGGAAGAACTCTGTCCTCGCTCCTCTGACTCACTCATCCGTCCTCCTTCCCGAGGGTGGAAAGCCTTACATCTCCCGCAACAACTGACCCACCTAAGGCTTCATCCGCAGCCACGGCGGCACGAAGTCAGCACAGCGCACGGAGTCCCCCAAGAATGAGAGTGGGCACAAGTCCAGCTTGAAAAATAATGTTTTTGTTGTTGCCTATGTTGTTGAAATTAACTGCTATACTAGAAATCATTGTCATCCTGACATCCTGGAGCCTCAGATGTCTGGCAGATGTAACTGCTCAAGTTCTGTGCAAGTCGGGAACACAAGAATCCTTGTAGGAATCTTTACAGAAATTCCACAACTGAGTTTGCTGAGAGGGATCAAAAAGGATTTTACTACACCCAAGTTATCTGTAACCACCACAACTTCCACTGTAACTTTCAAATATGCTGTTAAGAATATTAACCATAAATACTTCATCCCAGAGAAAACGCATCAGATTCTCAGCCAAGTCGAGGACTAAAAATTAAGTATTTCGGAATAACGTGCAAGGAAGCCTTCTCAAGAGCAACGTGTTATAGCTGACCTTGTATGACTCAAGACTTCTGACACCACTCGTTAATGAAACAAAACAATAAGAGTGGTCATAAGACCATTGCAGACGAGGAGCGAAAGAATAAAATGAAGAACAAAATCCATTTCAGTAAGTCAGTGTGTCAGCAGTTTCTAGTTCCAATTTTCAAGTATTTACAACTCAGCTGCGTGAGTCTTCTCCAGATCAACATTTGGCACAACTGGCTGCGGCCTGGACACAGAGGTGCAGCAACCAGAATTTGGGGGGGGGAAGGGAATTGTGTCAAAATGAACAGGTGAAGAGTATTTGGCACCCTCACAAACCGTTTCATAGCTGGAGAGGGAGGGGTGTAAGTGCATATTAAAGCCCCGGGCACACTGCAAACAGTGAAATGACTACTCAACTTATTTTTGCTCAGTAACTTATTTTAGCATTTGCCTGGCCGAGTCGCTCCTTACCCCCGCTCCAGAGGCCGTACACAGGGCACCCTGCACAGCTCTGGGCACCACCAGCCCTGCTCCTGATGGAAACCAGGTCCCTTCCCATCTCCCGCCCGATTATGTAAATGAAAATTTCAAGGCAAAAAAAAAGAAATTTAAAAAAACCCAAAAA